TGAAATTAAAAAAAAACCTTATTTTTTGCCGATCTTAATAGCCTATAAAAAGTAAAAAAAAAAAAAAAAATTAAAATTAAAAGTACGAAAATTTGATTATTGTTCAGTTGTATTTTCGTTCAAACTTATGATTATGACTATGTTGTATAAACGCATATTAAAATTGTGATTGTGATTATGATTACGTCTATGTTGTATAAACCGGGCAATACTTATTTTCACGGATATATATATATAAAATATCTATTGTTTGGTTTGTTATCATGAGTTTTTTAATTTATATTCTTTTAATTAACTGGTTGCATTATTGATAATTAAATTCTTATATCTTGATATTTTAAAACCCGATTGGTTATCAAATGTAATAATGTCAAATTTTATTGAAAATAACATTTTGTAAATATATAAAACCTTAACCCTATTTCAGTAATTTATAGCGCTTACAATAACTAGGATATCAGTATTGTTTTTAAATAATCTTGTATTACATACAGAGAACTCAGTATTCAGAAAAAACTTGATAGTTTTCTAAAAACTCAGATTTCCCTCAATTTTTTATTAAAATACAGGGTGTCCGAAAATTAATGCAACAAATTTTGGTCATAGATTCTTGAAAGTAAAATAGGTGACCCGTATTTTTTATTTTTGGCCAGTGGTCCCCCTTTTCGGATTTACAGCCCAAAGTCTAAAGTTGTTTGTAACCTAAATGTAACCTAAATAAAATTTCATATGAATCTCGATCTGCATTCAATCACATTTTGCCATTTCTCTCGAAAACTGTGCGTTTTACGAAAAAATTCCAAGCGACAAAAAAATTTCTAAATTCAATGGGCTTTCTAACGAGCTAATAATTTTTAAGAAATTTAAACACGTGACTGAAGTTTTTGGGGCTCCAAACGCAAGGGGGCCCACGAAAAAGTGTCTTAAGTCTCTTCTTCAACAAGAAGCATAGCACTATCTGATTCCGCATGGCAGAAAACCCCAGTGTACCAAATTTAGTGATTTTCGTCCAGAGCCCTAAGATTTTTTAAAAAACACTCTTTTGTGGGGGCGAAATTCAGGGAGCTGTAAATCCGAAAAGGGGGGTCACTGGCCAAAAATAAAAAATACGGGTCACATATATTTTTTTCAAGAATCTATGACCAAATTTTGTTGCATTAATTTCCGGGCACCCTGTATATAGGAGCAAGGAATCGCATATAAGACTTTAGGAATTGAGGAATAGCAACACATATTTGGTAAACTATTTGTAAAAGATAAAGCCTGGAAAATATAGTACCTAAATATAATTCTTAGAATAAAAAATCACATTCCTGTTAATTTTGTCTTTCAAATAGTATTAGGTACCCTTTTTCAATTAAACACCTTTCAAAATTATAAAGTCCCAAATAATAGATATTTCCACTAGAAGAATCTTATAATAGAGTCTAAATTGTTTGTTATATGCAGGGTTTAGTCAAAACTAGATACATATAATTTTGGATGTTTAGAAATGGAAACAGGGTGCTCCATAATTATGGAACACAGTTATTGTAACACAAGACAAATCACCCTGTCTGTAGATCTACGACAATAATATTGAAATGTTAGTTCCGCATATATAAACTTGTAGTGTAATTGATGAAATATCTAATAGAAAAACTGGGATCAGATTTTCAGAAACACCTATCATCCTGTACAAACTATATGAATAACGTGGTATTTTCCTCTTTTGCTATCTTCATAAATATATCAATATATTACATAAAAAAGTTCAAACAAATTCATTTAAGATAGTACATATAGGAAATTTAATTACATTACATTAAATTTCAATGACGCTCACCTAATAAATATTATTATACGTAAGGAACTCTACTTAAACATTATGCACGCACGATGTACTAGGTACATAATCGAAATATAATTTAATATCCCAAGTTATGTATATCTCCATATTTTATTTTTACATTACTCATTCTACTTCTACAAGATAGAATGTTGTTATAAAAGAGGAAGGGTCTTTGCAAAAAGATGACGTTAATTTAAAATATTTTTATCTTTTTGAATCCACAGGGTTACCAATTACTCGATATTGTATTGGTATATTCTTATAACCGATAAGTGGTCATTAAACCCTTATTCATCCCATTTTGGTGGCCACTTTTTCCAACAAAGTCCCATAATAGATATGTTTCCTTTTATTACTTTGAATTTGGTGGACAATGATTCCACTGTCTTTATTTATTTTGCTTGCATAACGTTTCGGTCAGAAGTATCACTGACCGTTATCAAAAGTGTGAACTAAACTATATACTGGAACCGAGCATTCACTAGTGAACTAGTTTTATGAGTGGTTGTCATATTGTTGAAATTTCCATACTTGGATTGCTAAAGATTTTCTTATTGTTAGAAATAAAAACGTCCTCTGTAAATTTGCGCTTTTTCCTATGGGGTTCTTTGTGGAGACAACCCGAGCTTCCAACCATTTTATGTTGTGATGCTTAGACCATACATAATCTGCAATGCCCGACTTCATTGTTTCATCTCTTTGCGTATGTTTTTTATGTTCGTCAAGTCGTACATTTAGAAGACGTTTTGTCTCTCCAATACACGACTCATCGCACTCGTAAGATACCTGGTAGATGCACTCATTTTCTTGGTTTAATGATTCCCATTTTGTTTTTGTTACGACGCTTCTTATAGTAATCCCAGATTTAAAAACTGTTTTAATTTTATACTGCTTAGCTATTCGCTTGATCTTCTCAGATGTTCCTTTCACATTTGGAACCGTCAAGAGAGAGAGAGAGAGAGAGAGAGAGAGAGAGAGAGAGAGAACATCCTCCTCAGACTGGTGCACCAATGAGTCAGACTTGCAACTTGCAATTGGATATAATATTGTCTAGGGATTTTGCAGAATAACCATTCTGAAGCAAATCGGTTTTAATATTACTTAGTTTAGAATTCAGAGATTTTTGGTGACTGCATACAGTGATTGCTATATGATATAATGTTTTAACTATGCCTCTTTTGGTTGCTTCAGAATGGCTCGACAGGGACTTTACCATTCTGAAGCAACCAAATGAGATATAGTAAAAGCCGAGTAGTTTTAGGATTTAGTTTAGTTCACACTTGCTAACGGTTGTGTAAACAAAATAAATAAAAATAATGAGACAATGGAAGTTCGAAATTCTTTTAGTTTTAATATTTCTCTTTTTGCTGCCGATTGTTGCGAAAGCGTGTAATGCGGTAATATTGGCGGTAATACACCGGTTTTCATATACTATATTCATCCTTCCCACACATAAGCCATTAACCAATCTTAATTACCACATTATAGATAAAACATCGACATATACCGATAAACATGCTGCTCCTGACGTTGAGTCGCCGTCTACTGATATGTTCTAATCTGTAGACGGTGATTGGGTCACAGCAAAATAGACAATGCAAATAAATTGAGACTTTTCTCATACATACATCATATAGATATTCTCTCTCAATTTTGTACAGGGTGTTTCAAAAAACATGTGTTATGATCGGGAGATTCCTCACGTAAAAATAAGATTAATTTTTTACAACATAATATATCCGGTTCTGCTTAATTTCGTAGCTACAGCCCTAAAGTTTTTTTTTCGATTTATTATAATTTTCTTTCAAGTGCTTTTAGTTTTATTCGAATAAAAATTTGGGGGTAAAAGTTATTATAAGTGTGAATGCTAACAGAGCAGAATCAGACCTATGGTGATATAAAAAAAATCTTATTTTTACGTGAAGAATCTCCAGATGTTTCTTGTACCTGTTTTTTGAAACACCCTGTATAGAAAAGAAATGCTTCCAATTAATGTCGATTATTAACTTGTCATAATATGGCGATATTATTATATAACTTGGTAATATTTAAGGGTTAGTTTCATCTCGTTGGAATTTGACTTGACTAGGAATTGACGAAAAATCCGTTTGCCAAAAATAAACTTTTTACGTCAAGCAGTTTAAGCAGAATGGTGGTTAAGAAATTACCGAACTTTTTGGAACACCCTGTATGATTTTTTAAAAAATTTCAAAATATGCAAAAAATCCAAATAAATTATGCTTGTCCAAGCGTTGTCCCGAAAGACTAACCGTTTTTTAAATAACAAATATTGTAATATTTGAGGGGCGTTTTCACCCTCTTAGAATTTGAGATTCGAGAAACCCCTCCTTATCGAACCTCTACACCCCACAGTCAATCCGTTTGCCAAAAATCAGCTTTAAACGTCAAGCAGTTTAAGCAGAATCGTGATTACTCAATGGTCATGTTTTATGAAACACCCTGTATAAATTTATAAAAAATCTTAAAATATGTAAAACAACAAAATAAAATATACGAGTTTAAGAGTTTTTCGAAAAACTCATCGGTTTTTAAATAAAAATATTGTAATATTTGAGGGGTGGTTTCACCCTCTTGGAACTAGAATTTCGAAAAATCCCTTCTTATCGAACCTCTACACCCTAGAATCAACCTGTATGCCAAAATTGAGCTTCTTACGTTGAGTGGTTTGAGCAGAATCGTGATTAATCAGTATGTCAGTCACTTAAGGATTTTATTAGTATAGATTAATCTAAAATGTTGTTTCTTGTTTATAAAAGTTTTATGTTTGAAAAATATTTTAATATGGAATAAAACTTAAGATAACAACGTCATAAGTATGTAGCTAAATATCAAAATAAATAGAGGGTCCTGGGGAAAAACTTGATAAGTGCCAATTTCTTAATTTTAGGATTTTACAACATTATAGTAGGTTTAAGTAGTCCCTAAAGTGTAGAAACTAGTGCTCTCCTGTAAAACGCTTAGAATAATCCAAGATAAGTGCCAATTTCTTAATTTTAGGATTTTACAACATTATAGTAGGTTTAAGTGGTCCCTAAAATGTACAAACTAGTGCTCTCCTGTAAAATCACTGAAATGGCGCTTATCATGTTTTCCCCTGGACCCTTCAAATGTAAGTAGGTATAGTTTAATAGTTATAGTTTCAACTTACCACAAATGTTTCCAAAAATGATACTATGTATTAGATACCCGATAAATATCTAATCTCGAACACCCAAATCTATCAAAATGCAAGTTGTGCTCAGTAGACGACATAAGCATTTTAAACGGAAGTGTCCCCACAGAATCGAATTTACTACACCACCATACGTTATTCACTACGTAATTCTAAACCTGAAAAAAAAAACAATATTGTTATAATACTGTACATCAATGATTAATGAGTTAGTTAAAAGAGAACAAAATTAAAGAAATCTGCCAATATAAAGAATATAATAAAAATGATGGTTGTGTTGTTATATTCAAAAGTAGATCTGTCGAAATCATTTATTTTCTTGCTAGGAAAATATACTTATGTATATCAAAAAATACTGACCAAACTTTGCTTATACAGGGTCAGCAAAAGAGTCTCTTGCGTTGATATTTCCATGTTTAGAAGTGAATCGCTTTCTTGTAAGTCGGAAAGAAAAAAATGCAAGTGTTTGTTACATAACAACTTAATCCATCGCTTCATTTAATGTGCTTAGGAAAATAACTTGCTCTTCTCTTTTATTCAGAACATCTTATTGTGCTTAACAAATTGACTGTACTCTTCGTGCATACGAAAATCGGCAGCCAAAGCTAATCATTGCCGACCGAGTATCTACATATATAAAATGCTAATGTTTATCTGTGTCGTCTCTACTGAAGTAACGACTTGCTCTAGAAAGTTGCTTTTTTACTAAAAGATACCTAATTGGCTCTTCTAAAAACTGTCGTTACCGGATTTTTTGTTTTTCATTTAATTAAAAAAAAATATTTTTTTCCGAATATCGTGGCGGATGCGCTAGGCTTCAACTAGTTAATTATAAAGTTTTGATATTTAATATTTATTTTTTAAATTAATAATAATTTGTTTATCATTGCAATATTTAATTTTGTTTGAGTAATAAAACAAATATACTAACTGAATAATCCCGTAACTGGGCCAGTTGTTACGGAATATAGCTAATTTCTAGGAAAATTCGAAAATTAAAAAAGCGTTCTGGCGCCTAATAAAATAAGTTTATAAATCACCAGGTTATTACACTCTCGCGAGATAAAAAAAAGTGTTAAATCTTGTTGATACGACCTTTCAAGGTAAACACACGTTTTGTAAATGGAAAAATCCAGAACACATCTTGATATTATCTAATTTTAAAAAGAAAATTGAGTTTTTTGAGATAGCGAATGATTATTATTCATCTATTTTATAAAAACTTATTTTAGTCTGCCAAAATTGAGGCGTTTTATTTTTTCTTAGATCTCTACAACTATAGATAGCTCTCTGAGGTTAATAAAACAATATAACTGTTAAGTGATTTAATAGGTATAGGGTTGTTCAGAGAATTTGCACAAACCGGTTTTCGCAAGCCATTTTTTTACAAAAAGTTAGACTACTATAGAGCTAGGAATAATTAAATTTTATGAAACTCACAAATTTTGAAATTGTTGAAATTCACATTTTTTTTCAAAAATTCACAAATATATAGAGCACGGCAGAGAAAACCTTGATCATTATTCCAAAGAATCCAACTATACTGTTCTGAACTTTAATAAAAGAAAAATAATAATAATATAGAAACTGTCCTCATACCAAGGGTTTCTAGTTTGATACATTCAAAACATACCACATTTATTACATTCAAAACTGGAGAATTTTTGTTAGTTTAGTGGGTCGCCGCCCGCAGCTACTCAACACTCAACACTTTGGTACTCAACACTCTGGTACTCAACACTCTGGTTTCGGGGCTCGAAGCTAAAATTGGATGTTTGGTGCAAATATCTTTAGATTATATTTATTGTTTTTGATTGCCCTTTTGCGAGCTAACAGCGCTTTCAGATGGAGCGGAGCGTCCGCAAGTTTTTATAGCCGTCAGACGAAATCATCCGGACGGAGCATACGCGACCCATATGACATTGTTCATATAAACTCATGGTGCTTGCTCGAAGTCGCGGACGATACGCCCCATCTGAAAGCGCTATGATATTCGCCCATCAGTCACAGTGGAAAAATGTTAATACACTCATATCACACTGAATCAAAAATATCAGCACGAATGGACACTAATAAACGATTGTAGGTATTTAGATTACTTTTAAACTAAAATTATCTACAGCATAAATCTATTCCGTTAAAAGTATATGTCGTAGTCTCATAGTGTATTCCGTCTTTTTACGAAGATCCTAGTCACTTAATGAAAAAAACTAACCTAATAACAAAACTAAACTCCTAACCTAACCGACGCTTCATGAAGTGACCTAGGATCTTCATGAAAAGACGGAATACACTATGAGACTACGTATACACATGCGATATATTATAATTTAAGCAGAATCGTGATTACTCAATCTCAATGGTCATATTTTATGAAACACCCTGTATAACTTTTTAAAAAATCTAAATAAAAATATAAAAATAAAAAAATATGTAAAACAACAAAATAAAATATACGTGTTTAAGAGTTTTTTCCGAAAAACTCACCGGTTTTTAAATATAAAAATATTCTAATATTTGAGGGGTGTTTTCACCCCCTTAGAATTCGAGTTTTGAAAAATCCCTTCTTATCGAACCTCTACACCCTAAAGTCAATCTATTTTCCAAAAATCAGCTTTTTACGTCAAGCGCTTTAAGCAGGATCGTGATTAATCAATGACCAGATTTTTCGAAACACCCTGTATACATTTTTAAAAAATCTTATAATATTTAAAAAAACAAAATTAAATATACATGTTTAAGCGTTTTTTTTTTCGGAAACTTGACCGTTTTTTTAATAAAAAATATTGGAATATTTGAGGGGTGGTTTCACCCTCTTGGAACTGGAATTTCGAAAAATCCATTCTTATCGAACCTCTACACCCTAGAATCAACCTGTATGCCAAAATTGAGCTTCTTACGTTGAGTGGTTTGAGCAGGATCGTGATTAATCAGTATATCAGTCACTTAAGGATTTTATATATTAGTATAGATTAGGTAAATAATGAGGAAATATTTACTTTACCTTTAATAACATTCTCTGTCACAATAGCCAAAATTTACAAACTAAAATAACATCATTGCGTCTCGAACGGTAGTCACAAAACTATTACCTAACACCTACTAATTCTATTCGTCGTCTAATTTCCCTCTCCCTAGTTTTGTGAATAATATTTTAAAAATCAATAATTTTATCTACGTATACAGAGTGTCTCAAAACTGAATCTTTTGAATTTAAAGATATATAATGTTTCTTTTTAAATACTTTACAATATAATCGAAATAAATAATACTTTACAATATGATCGAAAAAAAACGGCGTCAGCGATGGCTATGAAATGAAGATCGCTGTCATTTTAATGTAAAATTATATGGGAAATGTCATAAATGTTCATTTCCAAGCCGACCGGAAGCCGATTTTTTAACGTATGTGATAATTGCGGTATGGTAACTATTTTCTTTTTAATATTCTCTAATTTGTTTGACAATAGCTAGCATGTACCGTTGGCGTTATTTTCGTATATTTTAATTCCCCATTTGCTCATCCCGAGTCCGTTATATCATGGAAATTGCAGACCCGCAAAAATCTGGTCATTACACTGCCCACAGTGGTCGTTAAGGTAAAGTCGATGACAGTCTAATGACATAGTGCCCTCGACCACGTATAGGTATTACATTTCCAAACTTGAGAGAATGTCGCGTGCATTCTCGGTATATGTCTCAGGTTATCTGATATCATATCGACTATAATACTTTGTCTCGTATGGCAAGCTGCAAGTTACTAGTGAGTTGCTAAATAATAAAAGACAAAAAATATGAAGTTCGTGTAACGGACCACTTAATTCCATATACTCCTGTATTGTTTAGTTCTGTTTGCAGTTAATATACAGGGTCCGGCAATAGTGCGTCGGGCTTCTGTAGCTCCTAGAAAAAAAAAACTTGAAAATTTTGTTTCAGTGTAAATCTAAAGTATGTACCAGGGTGGTATTTCAGGAAAATATTTTAACTTCTATAGAGTGGCCCAAAAAAGTGTGAGTGGATCTGGATGATTTTTTTAAATGGAACACCCTGTATATTATTGCATTTTTGGCTTCCTTCCAGATCACTTTACATAATCCTAAAATATAAGTAAATATTTTTTAATAGTTTCAGATAATAAATAAATAACTCAAAAATATATATTTTTCATCCCTTCTTAAAAAAAGTATTAAAGATACAAGACTGTTCTGATATTAAAACTATATTAGGTATTTACTTTAGATGGTTGTAGATTGGTTAAATAGGTTTAGATCAGTTCTTACTTTGCTATAAATATGGTAATCGTAAATCATACAGTATGTTCAATACTTTACGCCAAACTTTCTAAAATATAAAATATTTTTTCTTTGCTTTTTTAAATGGAACGCCCTGTATATTATTTTTTTTTATTAGATGGAGAGTTAAAAAATGATTTTTTTGTATATACACGCAGTATTATTCCATATGGCGCTTTCAATAGTAAAATACACAAGAAAAATCATTAGGTGGCTTTGATAAAAAATGACTGTGGAAAATGCCATATGAAATATAAAACCGCAAATATCTGCGCAACCGTTAAAAATGTTGACATACTCTAAATACATAAAATGTCAATTTTTTAATTCTCCATCTATTGAAAAAATAATATACAGGGTGTTCCGTTTAAAAAAACGAAGAAAAATGATTTTATATTTTAGAAAGTTTGGCGTAGCATTTTGAACACCCTGTATGATTTACGGTTTCCATATTTATAGCAAAGTAAGTACAGACCATCTAACGTAAATATCTAATATAGTTTTGATTTCAGGACAGTTCTTGTATTATTAATAATTTTCTAAGGAAGGCTGAAAAATATATATTTTTTATTTATTTATTAATATCTCTGAAATTATCAAAATATATTTACTCATGTCTTAGGATTATGTAAAGTGATATCCAGATTATGTGAGTGGATCATCCAGATCCACTCATACTTTTTTGGGCCACCCTATAGAAGTTAAAATATTTTCCTGAAATACATCCTAATACTTACTTTAGGTTTGCACTTAAACAAAATTTCTACAATTGTTCAACGGAGCTACAAATGTTCGACGCACTATTGCGGATATATGGAAAACAAAAAAGGAAAAAAATCTAATGATCTACTAATCTCTGAAATTAC